ACAAAAACTAAGAATACTGGGCCAACATGGCCCAGGACCATGACGTGTTGTACCTGCAGAGTGTCACTGAGTGGACCTATGGCATCTTGAGCTGAGGCGGGGTACAGATTAAGCATTCAGAAGTCATTCATCTTGTTATTATCTGTTATGCTTATTGTAGCTGTTACCTAAAAACACTAATTTAGCGTAGTTTGCCCTGGGTTCAGCTTTGACAAATGAATATGATCGACTGTTTCCAGCAGAATTCCACAGTTGTCATCCTGTACCCTCTCACAGCTCCGTATGCTTGCAGAGACCCCCACAGTAGGCAAATGTGAAAATGAATGCCCAAACCATTGTATTTTAGGGGTTTTTATGTCTTCCCAACTCTTTAGCTAACCTAATAACTTTAGCTAAAGTGAACAGTTAGTCTAATTCCTGAGTGCAGCATTACTGGATCACCTCTGTTAACAGACACTCAACCACACTTGTCATATTCCGTATGGTGTTCATGTAGTTTTCTACCCAACAGTTCAGCAAAAAACACATGATGACTTCAAGCATGTGATGACAAAGGCTTTCCATTATAGTCTTTGTCATCACAAGTCTGGCTGATCATGTTTAGATGACTGGCCTTTTGATGCCATGACCCATCAAGACAAGTCTCCACTAGCTCCCTGAAGGTGTGCTGTGTCATCTGGCAATAAGATGTTAGTATGATATGGTGTGAAATAGATTTGTTTGTCCTGAACATCCCACAGATGGTCAACTGGATTGAGATCTCTGAAATTTGGAGGCCAAGTTAACACCTGAAACTAATTCTTCAAACTCTTTTTGAACATTTTTGGTTCATGGCAGGGTGCATTATCCTGATGAAGGAGGCCACAGCCATCAGGGAATGCCATTTCCAATAAAGGGTATTCATGGGTGTGTTTTCTTTTAAGGGGTGTACTGCAACAGTGCTAAGGTAAGTGGGATGTTTCAAAGTAGCACACACAGGACCCAAGGTAGCAGAACATTGCCCAAAACTGCACACTACCTCAGCTGGTTTGCCTTCTTCCCATAGTTCCCTGTCACTGGTGCACCACCGTTCCTTCATTGAATCACTTTTGATTGATAGTAACCCCTTCAGACCAGAAACACCCCACAAGAACTGCATTTTCCAGTTTTTCTTGATGATCAGTGTCATTCCTTTCACCTTTCAGTAGTCATAGTGTTAGCTAAGTGTATGTTGGCCCGGTGCAAGCAATCATTGAAATATGTTTGGAAACTCATGACAGTAAGAACTGAGGCTGATAAAAGGTGCTTGGCTTAGTGTTTATATAGTATTTATAATAAAGTGCTTGCTAAGATCTAAATGGCTTAGGATTTTAGAGTGATGAGTTAAAGTCTTTTCAGTCTTTCTCCAAAGCTGCACATAAAGCACCAGTAAAGTTGTAACTCCAAATAACGTAAACAGACAGTAAGAAATGCAAAATATTTCCTGTAGTCCCGGAAACAGTGTGATGTGAACTCTTCTGGCAGTGAACAAAAAGGAAAAAATGAATGTCTGTTATCTGACGACTACAGGAAAGAGCACAGCCCACAGAAACCAAAAGGTTCAAATGACAGTTTCTAATGCAGTCTCTGTACAAAAGGAGAATCTGGTGAGAATCAGCTTAGTGTTTTTTTTACAACGGGGAGAAGACGATGATACTTTCCAGCTTCAAAAGCTTCTTTATTTATTATTATTTGAGCTCCTTATTCTACCCAAGCAATGGTAAGACTTTCAGTTTCACCTTCTAAACTGTAGCAGTTTAATTTTAGTAATTAATTTTTCAACTTTAGTGATTAATGAGAACTGCTGGTCCAGTGAGTTAAAAAATGGCCACAGTAGAACACAAATATGGACTTGCATTTCTCATGGTCAGTGTGTTATGTTATTGAAAGGTACAGTAAATAAAACATTTACCCTTAGATGTCTCTCCACATGGACTCTAATGACAGAAAGAAAAAACAGAAAGTTTTAACCTTGTTTCTGAATTTCTTTTTACCAGGTTTTGAGGTGATCCAGCCACAGAATAAGACTAATAACCCAGATACAGTTTTCATCAGCTGTACCTTTACAGCAAACACTGGGACAATTGTAGATGTTCGACTCAACAAGGTTTTACCAGAGAAGTATGTCGAAGCATGTCTCTTGGTTTTAGTGAATTTGTTTTTTTTTTTTTGAGATGACAAAAACAAGCTTTTCTCTTTCACTGCAGGATGTCGAGAAATTCTCGTACTACTTGTATGAACTCATGTTTGCTGACTGAAGTTCTCTTTATGTTTTTGATCAAATGTTTGTATGACAAAAAGGTGTCTGTATGAAGTCTGTAGCAGTTCTATGTTCAAAAATCTGCAGGTTTTCTTTTCCCATTTTCAAGAATTCTGCCTGCTGCAATTTTAACATTATTTCAATTAAAATAATTAGACTGGGTCATGCTAGCTGCATATCTAATATTTCTTTGTTTCCTTTCAGAAAGATGCTCTGCCAGACTGAATCTGAAGCCTGTCATAACATTATCGTACTTAAAGACGCTCCATTCAAGTACATTTTCATCTTACTCAATGCTGGGCCAGAGGCATGGACCTCAAAGTATGAATGTGAGTGGTCAGCAACAAATAAGGATGGGACGGACAAAACCGTGACAACTGCAGCAAACAAATTAATTAAACTGCAACTACAAGGTATGTATATACAAAAAGTGATAAAAACAGAAATTGCATTTTATTTATTTATTAATTTTTGTCTGCAGAAGTGAAAGATTGAAATGACAAATGATGCAACAGAACGTCCACATTTTAGAGCATCAAATACTGTGATTCTGTCAGATGCTGTTAGAATAGTTGAGATTACAGTCTCCCTCCAAAGAGCAGTTTTCAGTTTGGAACAAGTCACAGTTGAGCTCTGCAGACAGCTTGTTCTGTTCATCAGAGCTGTGTTTTGCACTTCATTGCATACTCATCTGCTGGCTAGTTTTTGTTACGGGGGAGGGCAAAGTTCGGTTTCAGCCTAACTGGTTGTGGTCTCTCTGTGCATATTGGCCATCAAAAAAAAAAACATAAAACACATTCTTTCACAAATTTTCACAAATATTAAAACAGTAAGATGAAGGAAACATGTCCAAACACGAAATCATTTTAACAAATAACCTTTTGGCAGGCTGCTGGGAACCACACGGGAAGAGTGACTTGAGCAGGTCCTAGACAACATACGCACAAGGGTGATGAGGGGAGACAGCTGTCAACGCAGCAGGGACACATAAACATAATGCACATAGACTATCAAAATAAGACAGGAAACGCGGCAAAAAGTATAAGCACAGTAAGTCCTGCTGTGCAATTCAAAGGTACAGACTAAAAGTTTTGATTTGGAGGTGGTAAAATTAGGAACTATGTGTTGTTAAAGTTGCAAATACAAACCCACGATCCTACTAAATCAAAGTTAAGACTTGAGACTTTTTTAGCAACAGAATCATAATGTCAGCAAAGACACTGTGACTCAACCTCCCTTGTGTCCAAGTTGCAAAGTCCATGTGGTCTTTTAGCCCAAACCACACAAATTTTGCGATAAAAAGCCCAGGATATCCTCTTTACTGTGCAGTAGGACTCATAGATTGCATAGCTGGTGCTTGATGTAGACGTCTCACATTTACGTCCCCCACACAGGACAAAAATGCATTGCTGTGTCTTAGAAGGATATGCATGTAAACTCTGTTAGCACTGTATCAACACAGACACCCAGAATCTTCAATCAGAATGATGAAAATGGTAAATCGACGGGTTCTTTTTCTGCTCTGAGCACTCAGAGTGATTATACAGCATGCCTCATTCACTATTTCACACAAGCATTGTTTTCTAACATTTGCACATTTTGATGCATCTTGGGGTAAATGTCTTACCTGAGGATATTTGGCATACAGACTGCAGTAGCCAGGGTTGAACCATCAACATTCTAATTAGTAGATGGTCTGCAGTGCCTGTGTGGGTTAGGGGTGTATTGCTAAACTTGTTAAACGTTTTTTTGTTCAACCATGTCCTGGCAATCAGGGCAAAATGTAGCTCTGTTTGATATGCATTAAAAACCATTTCAGTTTAGCACATGGTTAACGCTGTGATGAGTGTTATCGCTGAGGACAAATTAGACCTCAGAGGGTTAATTGTCCAAGAGATTGCTCCTTACAGTTACCACTTTGTAAAGAAACTATCACAGAAATACTGCAAGGCTTTGAAACCTGTTGTTGACTCTTAAAATAAAAAATAAAAAAATAATAATTTCTGTGCAGGCTAGGATTTTTTTTCACCTCAGAGATTTTAGTCTGTATCGTTTCAGTGGTTTAAGCAGACAGAATCTTTTAACAGTATCTAAATCAAAGTTTGACTTCCTTGCATTGCTGGTCAGATCTGATCAAACTACGCCCACGCTACTGACGAAGTTGGCTGGATACTCTGTGCTGCTAAATGTGAAAACACATTTAGCAGCACAGAGGGCCACCACCAGTGGCCCTCTTACCACTGGTGGTGGTCAGAGGGCCCGGTGGCGCCAGTGTCCGGCAGCCTCGCCTCTGTCAGTGCGCCCCAGGGTGGCTGTGGCTACAATGTAGCTGCCATCACCAGTGTGTGAATGTGTGTGTGAATGGGTGGATGACAGGTTGTGGAAAGCGCTTTGGGGTCCTTAGGGACTAGAAAAGCGCTATACAAATACAGGCCATTTACCATTTACAACAAAACCTAATAATGCATGTTTCTGAACGTGAAACTGGCTGCTGTTCATGTCGTTGTGTTTAGTGACGTCAGTCAAACCACTGAAGTACAAACAGGAAGTAACCACTGTTTTTATTAGGTCAACTGGAAACCACACCACAGTGTACTCCTCCCCCTTCACCTCCTCCCCCTCAGTCCCATCAGCTCATGTGGATTTTGATTGGTCTGCTGGCCCTGATGTTTGTGTACAGCTGTATCATCACCTCCTTCTACATGAGGCTTATGGTGACTATCTGTCAGAATTACTATTTTTCTGAGGCTGTAATTTACGATATATGTCTTTATATGTCTTAGTGTGTTTTTTATCAGATGTTTGTTATCATCTTGCCCGGACGCAACGTTAAAAGGTCCACAAAGCAGCTGAAAGCAGCTTTTACGATGGTCAGCCAGGTAATAGATGAAGGGAGATGTTTTGCTAGAGATTTTTACACAGCCGTAGTTCATTTTCTAAATGAGAAAGAATTCAGGTTTAAACTTTTATATAAGGTCTATGATATGACCACAGCTTTCACTGTTGTTGAGGGCTTGGGAAACTTCTTTTGATCGTTGTTATTTTGAGACTTTCTTAGTCTGAAATCATATTTGTTTGTTTTTCCAATTACAATTTAAAATGATTTTTGTTTCCAACTCAGTATAAGCTGTTTATAAGCTGCTTTGAAATTCTGCTTTTTTTTTACATTTACAGCAGACGATACAAAGCTATAAAATAATTGTTCAGATCATAACAACACACAGTGGATGTTCTGTGTCAACCTCAAGAGTCCTTTGAAATGAAACATCAAACTGACCCACACAGATTTTTATTGACATCAGACATTGTTACAGTTAGACACACACAAGTTAAATTTATAATGTTTCCTAATAAGCTGACTGTAAATATGAAATGCACAAAAGCAGGACGTCCCCAAAACCGAATGCAGTTTTAATGCATCATTTTCTGCTATGAGATTGTAAAACGCCTGCTAAGCAATAGGCTCCAGCCCTTGTAACATAACTAATGTGAAATTAGTCTATAAGGTGTTCTTTAGAGTTAAAAGACTTTCAAATTCTTACTGCTTTTCTTTGTTACATAAATTCCATCAATTTTGACAAGCGTCCCAACACCACTGTTGAAATGTGGCCCCAAACCATCACGCTGTGTTTTACAGTTGGCTGTATACACTCACTAATCCACCTCTTTCCTGACCTCCTCTCTATATCTTGATGCCAATGTGCTGCTGATTTTCACTCTACTTCTTGAAAAATTTGGCACACACCAGCCTTTTTCTCCCTGTTTTCTCTGATCCCAAAGAATCACTGTCCATGTTTGCAAATTTTGCTTCATCTGACCACAGAAGAGTTTTCCACTCGACGATGCCGACCGGAGGATTGTGACTTTGATCCTTTGTCCCTCGAGCATAAAGATTTCTCCTGATTCTTGGAAACTTTTAATGTTATGTACTGTAGAAAGTTATTCTATTTTACATTGAAGACCATTGTTCTGGAATTGTTTCACAATTTGTAGACAGTTTTTTCAAAGTGAGTTAGCAGACAGTTAATAAGATACTGAAAGACATCCATAAAAACTGTCCTGCCTTTGTGCCGTGCCTGAACACCCAGTTTTAACAGCAGTATTATTATTAAATACATTTAACAGAATAAAGCTATCAAAAGAATGAGGCCGAAATGTCTGCATCTCCTCTGCACTTAATGTTACTAAACTAATTACTTGAAAAGAAATCCTGCTGTAGGTGATGTGTCACTTTTGTGTTTTTTTTGTTTCAGAACAGCAGCAAAGATTGCGAAAACTCCACCTATGTTGAAATGAGGAACGTTCCAGTTCAGCTGCATCCTCACCACATTTACAATACTATGCAAAAGGCTTGAGCTGCCCCTCATTTCTTTATATCTTATTAGGAAAATGGGTAATAGGTTCAACAATGTCTTAAAACATGTAAAAATACATGGAAATACAGTATCTGCAGTAAATACAACTGTGTGCACAAATGCATAAACAGAGTCTGCACAATTCTAAGGAACTTTAAATATTTCATATGACCAAACTTATTCTTCTACATAGCCTGAACTCTCATGGGCAAGATTGCTTATAATGTCTGTTAGTAGTTTTCAGGGCAGGGGGGGGGGGCTGGCTGCCTTTATTCCATTTTCCATGAAGCTGGTGTCGAGGCCCAGACCATGACTAACAGTTTTCTACCCAGATATGTTTTTTTTCTCAATCCATACGACCTGTTGACACTGACTGAATAGACTGTAAAGTCGGCATTGATTAAAGTATGACTTTGAAAGAGCTTTAGAAACCTTAGAGAACTGCTGATCATGACCAGTTTAAAATGTTACAAGAAAGTTCAGCTCCTTAGAAGCAAAATATAAAGAATTGAGGGTCGCTCAAGACTTTTGCACAGTACTGTAGCTCACTCATCTGTCTTCAGTATCTTCAAAAAGAAAACGTGAACAGCTCATATTGTGCTCTCAACATTTGGTTCTTCAGTATTTGACAGTTCATTAAGTTGTATTGTGCAATAGCAGAAAACCTGTGTAGTACTGAAGTAAAGAGGGGGGTGAACTGACCTCTTAAAGGCACATGGTTTTATTGACCTATAATATGATCCATTAGTTTAATCTTTTTAAAGTCTTACTTTATTAAAAGAATGTCAGCTATTGATTTGATGTAATTCCTCAAAATAGTAAGTGTGGATTGTACATGTAGCATCGTGGTTGGATTTTGTCTCTGACATGTTGAAACCTCATGATTCTTCCCAGCTCTTAGGTCTTCAGGTCAGAGGTCACGGTTGGTCCTACGTACCAAACTTGTGGGGATCCGGCTTTTCACGCACCAAAGCTGTGGTATTCTCTTCCATTGTCTTTACGCCGTGCAGACCCCACTGACTCATTCAAAAAGCAGCTGAAGACATTTCTATACAAACAAGTTTTTAACTAATTTTCTCATTGTTTTGTTTTATTTATATTTCTGGTTTTATTGTGAAGCACTTTGTGATTTTTATCAGTAAAAAGTGCTATAAATGCATCTTTCTTACTTACTTTTCTAAATCTTCAAGGAAACTTTGCCTTAATCTTGTATTCAAATTACAATATTTTATACTATGTTTTGTGTAGTTTCCACGTGCTTCAGTGTTTCTGCACACGCACACAACAATGGTACAATTTCTAATTATTGCGGTACTACATGCCTTATTGCTAATAATATTATATTTTTATAAATATACCTCAAGCTCCCCATTAGTGGCCAGTTTGGTTTCTGTCTCATCGCTTGTATCATTTTATGATATACATCGCTGAGGGTGGGGGATACCTACTTATCCTAGTTTACACATTTCAAGCTGGAGAAAACGGTGTGCCCATCAGCAGCCACAGAATCGGTTCAATATCCTTTATTAAGGATAAATGTAATTGTAACCTCTTAGTTAATCTGAACGATAACCTGTTGTTTTGCTGGAGGGGAAGAGAAAATCATTGCATTTGTCATCACATGTAGCAAATATCATACCTTGACTTTTGAATGGCCTGTTGTCTTTATGTGTCTTTTATTTCAAAATAGATTTGTATGGTTTCTTTTAATCAATAAAAATTAAATCCAAAAACCTCTGCAGAGTGATCCTTCCTAACCATCACTCCATCTATTTTCTTAGATATTTTTCCAGCTAAAGTTGAATGGGACATGCACCCATTTCAGCTGACCTTCTTTCCATTCTTCACTGAAAGCTCAAATGTCTCCCATAGATGTTCAGCTCAGTTTCATCTGAGGGGTGTAAAGGCCTTACTCATACACATTATTTTCACCTTCAGTAAAAATAGGATACATACAATGTCATCCTAAAATAGGCCACTGGTATCAGGAGAGAAATGAGTGGTCCTTCCCTCTATAGAGTGAGGTGGATTCCCAGAATTTCGGGTACAAAGCATAATTTTTCAAAAGTAGTCATTTGATCCCCTATCTGCAAATCCATACTGAGAGAAAGAATGACACAAGAGGGACACTATTGCAGTCTCAAGTTCATTCATACTGATTCAAGGTCGCCACTGCCTGATCCTTTCTCACAATATGTTGGACTATTGGCAGACTTTGGCAAACTAACTATTTTATCCTACACCAGTGGTTCTCAAATTGTGGCTCCCTCTAGTCATTAAAGATGAAATAATATGTGCTGTATTAACAGAATGCTAGCACTTTCTTTGCAAAGCATTACTACCCTTCCTGTCGTGTTTGTGTCAAAACTGAATTATGATATCCTCCACACTATGCACTCTAACATATAAAAGTGATGAGCACCTCTTGTTACATATGTGGTTTTCTTAGTCAAAATTGACCACCATAGGAAATGAATGGGAATCCCCCCCACACACACACTGACTGACTGAATGACCCACTGAACTACAACAGAAAACAGCAGTAACGTTTGCAGGGTTACTGAAGTTGGGCTAGCTGGTATATAATGATGTGCTACATGATTGCTAGCGACACAGCTATGTTAGCATAAACACAGTGAAGCTGGAGGATGAACGCTAACCTTTTTCCACTCAATAAAAGTTAACATGAGGGTTCCCGATGGTTAAGGACAAATGCAATCGCATGGCAGGATGCTGTAAACGGACCAAACTCCAGTCAGGAGAACAACTGAGATAATCCATCCACAACACGAGGTTATACTGCTGCAAGGGCTGTAGCTACATCAGAGGGGTTTAAAAACTGAGCTGTAAAATGAACAGTGGAAATAAAAACCGAGAGAGGCCGACAGTGATCACTGACTGGGACTTGTTCAGATTAAATAGAACAAGATACAGAGCACTAAAACATGTTAAAAACACACAGAGTAGTTTGTTCACACGTCATCACTTAAAGACCGGATATCCCACCTGCTGTGACTGTTTTAATGCAGCACAGCTGTTGTTATTATCAGTTGTCACATCCTGTTTATGACAGTTAAATAAATAACATTCATATAAGAAAGAAAATTGTCTCTTGTAAACTGTATGTGGTTTTAAAGAGGCCTATACTACTGTACTTTAATGGAGGTCATAAAAGTGGTACTTCAAGAGCCATTTATTTTATGAGGTGGTACTCATTGTGAAAAGTTTGAGAACCACTGGCCAACACAAAACGATACTATTTTTCATGCAACTTTTTCAATGACACAAAATTATTACTTCAGTTTGGCGAGACTTTTCATAAATATTCACCCTGCAATGGATCCAATATCCATATCAATATCCATATCAATATCAATATCTGGATATCTGCAATATCCAGTAAAAAAAACTAAAAAATGAATCAAATGGTAAATGGCCTGTATTTGTATAGCGCTTCACTAGTCCGTAAGGACCCCAAAGCGCTTTACATTACATTCAGTCATCCACACATTCACACACTGGTGATGGCAGCTACATGTAGCCACAGCCACCCTGGGGCGCACTGACAGAGGCGAGGCTGCCGGACACTGGCACCACCGGGCCCTCTGACCACCACCAGTAGGCAACGGGTGAAGTGTCTTGCCCAAGGACACAACGACCGAGACTGTCCAAACTTCCGATTACAAGATGAACTGCCAACTCTTGAGCCACGATCCATAATATAAGCAAGTAAAATTTCTAGTTTATACATTTTCGTTTTTCTCGTGTGTTTCGTCATTCTTTCATTCTTGTAAATCTCTGGAAAGTGTTTTTTCTCTGTCTTTTCCATGGAAATACAGCAACTGTACATTTAGCAACCAAAGCATAATGTGTTACAAACTGCTTAGAAGAAAAAAGACTTTATGTTTGGCAATATTTGTTTAGCTGATTGAATTTATGCACCTAAAATTACCTGCTACATAGGAAGAGATAATCTGTTTATGCTCACTCCTCCTCGGTAGCGCTATAGAGAGATACTTATGAACCACAAACCCAACTTCGAGATCCTCACCATGAACACATCACAGAAATGAGTACAAAAACAGGATGTGTTGAGGGTGTAAGTGGGGCTGTTGGATGTCATTGTTTTCTTATTACTGAGTATCTCCATGCTGTCACCTGGAAGCAATATTAGGCAGCATGTGTCCACCTGCCTGTCAGATTGAATTTTTTAATTGGTTTAACCTCGGCTGAAGTGTTTTCAAAGTGGACTTTTTTTATCTATTCACATAGTGCATGACAATCGTGCATGACAAAGCTACACCTTATGTACAAATTAGTTGTCACAAGATATTCACACCTAGTGTCGGCCTGGTATATCGTTTGTGTTACTGAGGCAGCATGCTCATGTTTCAACCTTTAATTCTTTTGGTGTCATACACTTTGAACAGGGTGAAGTCATGTATTGAACTGACTTGCGGGTCCATTATTCTATTTTGCTTTTGCTAAATAGTTGTGGAAAGTTAACGTTTCCATTGTCAGTCAGCTCCAACTGTGCAGGTCAGTGTGGTGAAAGACTGTCTTATCACTTGTGAACAAAATTGTCACGACTGGGGGCAGCAGTCGTGTGACGTGTGGAAGGAGCACTCAAATGCAGCACTTATTAGGATGTGAGGGTGATTTATTAAGAATACCTAACATAAAGTGGGGATGGCAAAACAGAACTAAGGATGAGCTAAACTGGGAGAAACTAAACCATAGAGCATCAAACCTGAACATGAAGGGAGGACAGCAGGGAGAACACGCAGGGGATTCACAAAGTAATGTAGCGTACGCAGGGTAACACAGAGGATGAACACAGACAACGCAACGAGGAGCACAGGCAGACACGCAGTGTAAATGCACACACCAGGTAATTAGGAAATGGCAGACAGGCGGGGACACAGCTGGAACTAATGGACATAACGAGACAAAGTAAAACAGGAAACACACAGACTGTTTTACACTACCAACTGGGGACACGAACAGAACACAGAGGGGAGGCACAGGCAGGGATGATAGAAACACACAACTCAAACCCTAAGAACAAATACAAAATCAGAATAAACTAGAACAATGATAATAATAAACTTCAAGCGCTGGGTCATCGACCCAGGACCATGACAAAAATTAGTAATAGCAGAGCGCTCTAGATTCATACCGGTAATTTTTTATCCCATTTTTTGGAAATGATCTGTAATTAAGGTGGAGGCGGCACTCCTCTGAGACTGTCCTCAATGAACGGTAGTGATGGCCAAATGAAGCTTTCTGAAGCTTGTGTTGAAAAACGGTTCATTACTCGAAGCTTTTCAACACAGTCCTCTCTGGTGACATCTGGTGGCCAAAAATATGAAGAGCAGCTTGAATCCACAAAATAAAACCAACTGCTTCATTATGATTGCCCACTCTACAGAGTGGGATTCTGTCTGATATTGGACCGCCGTTGTGTTGCTTTGAACGTGTATTGTTTGGTGGTTAAAAAAAATGTGCTGTATTTGGTTAATAAATCATTTTGACCAGTAAACTCTCCTTGTTTAAACATGCACCATGGTGTGGTCTTTCTTTGCTTGTCATGGTCCTGGGTCCCCTGACCCAGCGTTTTTAGTTCCTTGTGATGTTTGTAATATTGTACTTGTGTGAGTTATTTTATGGTTTCTAGTCTCGATCCCTTGCCCTTCATGTTTCGCTGTGTCCCCTCTGTTCTGTGTAAGTCTGTCTGCATGTTTGATTTCCCCTCTGTGTCTTTCGGCTCTTAGAGTCCTCTGCCTTATGGTTTGTCTCTGTGTTTCTTAGTTGCTGTCTCCACTGTGTCAAGTTCGCGTCTCTGTGTGATCCTTCCTGTTTTACTTTGAAGTTCCGTGTCTTATGTGAATGTGTCCTGCTTTGCTTGTCTCGTCAGTCCTGATTTCTCCCAGCTGTGCTCTCCTTCTGTGTCTCATTCCCTCATTATCCCTCTGTGTATTTAAGCTCTGTGTTTCTCTTTGTCAGTGTTGTAGTCTCCATCATAGCTGTGTGATTTTTCCCTGTGGCTCCTTGTGCTTTAGTTTTCCCAGTTT